TGCAAAGCAAATTTTCCAGTATGGCCAGCCAACTTCTGGCCAATAAGAATCCGCCTTCGCCTTCTGGTGGGATCAGACTTCGAACCTCTTCATCGTACACTTTCACTAGAAATATAATTGAGCTCAATAGTGATGATTTCTCACTCGGATGATATCTTCCTTGGTTAGCCAGATGAAAGTTCAACACGGATTCGTCTTGATAATAGGACTAAGGGTCGATGATTTCTTCGTATAATCTTAGGCAAAACTTCGGTTTCCGATGCCACTATTCACAAGTCATTTTAAACCAATTTTTCCTGCGAAATGAAAATTTGTATCACGTGAAGAGTTTTGGACCGTCTTGACTTTAAGCTTTTGAGGAAAATTGAATTAAGCATGTGCCAATGTGCCATCATACATAGACCAAAACAAAGTGAGAAGTCTAGGTCGCTTGGAGAGTGAATGAAAATAGTTTGCCCTGGGGTAATCTGAAGCAAGCTGTTTTCCTAAAGAGTGCTTAGTGCAGATTGCGCATTTCTAACTCTGGGCAAGCCTCTGAATGCAATCTTTATTTTGTAAGCAATTTTGCGCAGCCACATAATAAAAACTGTACCAGGACACCTGCATGTCGGGCCATTTTGAATGCGCCTGCCCTTCACACACTTTGGCATAACATTTGGCGCATATACCATAATTGGGTTGTTTTCAATTTAATCCTGTGAAATGAAGCATCAAGGCTTATGTTGGACTTGCGAAAAATGTGTTGGATTCGACTTTCAGGCAAGAACCAGTCCTCAAGGAAAGTCCATCTTTCCTGTAAGTATTGGAATGTTCTGATCGGCATAGTCCCAATCGGCTAACATATTTCCCCGTTGGCCTGCTGGCCGAACTTCTTTGTGCAACTCTGTTGGCCATGAGCAATGGCATTTAATAAGACGGCCAGCCAGCAGACATTGCATCTAGTTTTTTTCTCTTTTTCTGTCACAGTTCTTCCGAGTTAGTTATTAAATATCTATGTCTTGCCACTCTCCTTTCCCATTCACATATTCGCCTCTATTCGCCCCTTGAAATAGTGAAAGACTTCCCCTTACTTATTTTTTTTCTCCAAACAATCGGCTAGATGCTAGAAAATGGTGCAGGGCAGAAAAGAGGATAGGTTAGGGAATAAGTCTCCTGATCCGAAGGCTGAACCATGCCAAATGGATGCTTGACTCTTACAGAAGAGGGAGAGATGAAGACGGTTTTGATGGTAGATTCGGAGAGGAGACTTGATGAATGCCACAAGTGTGAATTATTGATATCCAGAGGTTGTAGCCATGACATTTTGCCTAAAACCCAATAGCAGATGAAGATAGCGACAAGCTGCTGAGTCAAGCAACAATCTATCAAATGGGCAAGAGGACACCTTCCAACCACAATGTAAGAAGATTGTTTAAACTTCATTTGAATGGGCTTTCAAGAGTTCAAAGCTGAAGAGTCTTCATAAACAGAGGCTGGTGTCGCTTGCTTTGACATAGCTCGTTTAAGAGCTGACTGCTCGCACTCTAAGACAGGCTCTGAGTATCCGACTTGTGAGTTCGCACTTAAATGATGGGCAAATGACACATTCCGAGTTGTCCACTACAATTTTAGATTTAAATAAATAGTTCTTCATTCAGATATTTCAGCTTCGCTTGTCCTCTTTCCATTTTATATGGAATAAAATTCTTTTTCTCAAAGCAAAATTAGTAATTGATGAGAAAATTCTGTCAATAAACGGTAGTTTATGGGGGTTGGAAGATTTGTATTTGAGCAGAATCTTGATTTGGCGCTATAATTCACCATTTATCATTCTACCCTTTCTCCTCTAAATTTTCCTTTATTTGTGTGTGTGTGTGTGCATGCGTATGTGCCTTTTATGTGTGCGTGAGAATAGACAATGCATGTGTATGTAGACATTTGATTGTTATGTTTTAAGCCTTTACACTAGCAGTCAATGCGTATAGCTTGTTGGAATGCAAATTGTTTCTGACTTTTCTAGTCTATCAGTAATTCTATAAAATAATTTAGTCATCCTAGTTTAATTAAGGTTATTCAAGAACTGAAAGTTCAGTTTTCGCAAAATGAGATAATTAGGCCTCAAAATACGATGGAATTCCTCAAAGGCTTAGTCAAAAATTGACGATTTTATTGAAAGCTACTCATACCGAAAATAAGGTGCTCCGTAGACTACAATGGCAAACACATGCTAAATTAATTGAAATGCGCAGCATACCTGAGATTTTGGTAGGGCCCGACTTGTCTTGAGTATCAAATTTCACCTTCTGGCCCTCTGGCACCCGTGGCTGTATAATGGAATTGTAATGTCGCCATGCTATTCACGACCCAATATTGAATCCCGTTGGGGTTGCTGATAAAGCCTAATTGATGTCGAAACTGAAATCCACTCTAAATGAAATAGTTTTTTGGAATGCGAGGCTAAATAAAATTTAGCAAAATCTCTCTTTTGGAAAAATTTAGCTATCAGTCTTGAACTCGTCTTGAGTGGCCCAGAGTGACTAAGTTCTTAAGTTGTGCTGTTTCGTTTCGTTTGAATAAACGAGTGCAAGAGATTTGTAAATTTGGCTCACAAGAATTTGTAAAAGAATTTTCTTGCAGTTGCGACTGCCTATTTATGCGAACGAGTCCTTAGTCCACCGTTTCGAGGCCTCGAATCATCAGTGCTGAGGCCACATCTATCATGTGGCAGACAGCATTCGAGCAGTAGGCCATGCTTTACGAAAATTCATCAGGCTCTAAGACACGAAAAGTGTTTACTGCATCTTCTTAAAATATATTATTCTGCTCCGATAACATCTGAAGCATGAAAAGGTGAAAGAGTCGCCGGATGATTAACTGAGGACTTATTTTGTCACATCTTTAATCATAACCTCGGCCTTCAGAGAGACCAATTTGGGTGTCTCATGCACTCATCCGTTTAAATGCAGTATCATTAAGGCATTCTTTGAAACCCAGCTTTTATTCATTTGTAGTGCTAATATTGGGCTTGTTGCATCAATATCATCAGCCAATTTTTCCGTTTCCAAAGGCGGAGTAGTAGCTATCCAGTCATATTTTTTGTAAGTGCGCCATGTGCGTGTAAATAGGGATAAACAATGTGTCATCCTCTTAGTAACTAGCTTTCTACAGATTCGCGTAGCCAGGAGAATAACTTTTATTTTCAATACCACTTGTTGCATTATACTTATTAGTATTGAATAGCCGTACAGTCCTTGACGTATTCATGAAATGAGGCTTGGCATCTTCTCTCAAAAGTGGATATCTCGAAGCTTTGACTGATCTATCATAGTTCACCAACTAGATATTTTTAGACGAGAATAAAGTTGAAAATCGCTTCCAAACCTTCTTTCCCGCAAAATCTACATCAATGGTCGAGTTGTTCTACTGGCCCACACTTGTATTCTATCATTATATGCCTTTCATGGACATGTATAGACATGCATTAACATCTGATTAATGCAAAAGCGAAGTCTAAGGCATCACTTTTTTATACTTTATACGTGATGACAGGGTCTTCTTTGTATGTGAGACTGTGTTTATGACAGAAGCAGACATGTTCGATTAATCAACACTAGGGGCATGTTTTAGGCATATTCCTCTGGTTACAAGAGACTGAATGCTTAGGTTCGCAATGTCAAACTTTGCGAATCATCCCAACAGAATAGCATCGCTTTCAGAATATGACCAAATAAACAGCTAACAAAGCTGTTAAGAGTCAACATTTTCCATCGCTAAGATAGCCTACTGCGAAGAATTCCACCTTAAGACAACGGCCATCCGGAATCCGATTGTAGATAAGAGATACAGTTCGCAATGAAGTTTAATACAAAGTTGAGACTTCTCTTGAAAACATTAAGGATGGTATTTCATGTGATGCCCTACGAAATACAATAATAGAATAGACTACATGTTTATCGGTTGTTATGTTGGCCGTGAGTTCACGTCCCAATGGAGCTATTATTGAATTAGAGGCGAGTTCAAAATGCGCTCATTTCATTTCATGCCAATCAAATGGAATGACTTTTCTCATTCTGATCCATCAGACGAAAATGTGGGTAGCCTGACGGTTCCAAATGACTGATATTGCCAGCATTCGAGGGGCCATAGAGACTATTCCTAATTAAAATAGTTGATACTAGTAAAGCATACAACCCAACCTCTCGACAATGCTCAAATTTCTTTCGCCCACTTGCTTGAAGAGTTGAGACATTATCTCGGGAAACTTCTTGATGCATAGTTGAGTGTCGAACACTCAGCCGCAGGCTATCGTATCAGCTCGGTTGGCTTGTTTAAAAGTGAAGTGTTGCCTGATTTCCCAACACCCATCGGTGGGATTGACGCCTCCAGTGAAGTAAAGAGACCTGTTCACTCTCCGACGCCTTTGGCTATATTCCCCGGCTTTTGGTTGGACGAGCCGATATGCCAGCTTGAGCACCACCAAATAGAATGTGTGAAATTCGCTTGTTTCTCTCGGACATTTTATCATTTAATAGCCCAAACCGAACTGGTCTGACATACATGCGAGGCCACCAGTGCCCACTCTTTCTCTCTCTCTCTACTCCTCATTCTGCCCACATGGGCCCATCTTCCCACCTGCTGCAAACAAGTTATGCGGACCTCAATGCATTCCTGGCTTCAGGGCGACCGTCAAGCAGGGACCAGTTGACCTGGCCATGCCCCCTTCCCCATTCGCATTGGTCCAACAGGCTCCAGCAGCAATTTCCCATCTGCCCATCCCCCTTCTCTTATCTCCTCTACTCTCCTCCTCTCTCCTCTCTCCTCTCTCCTCTCTCCTCTCTCCTCTCTCCTC